ATTAAGAGGAAACCACTCTGAATGATAGGGAAAAGGGTGTAAAAATATACAGCCCACAGCTGGTAAGCAGCATGTGTTTGCTATGAGGGGAGTTCACATCTAGTTGATCCTGCTGGTTGTCAGGCTGATTGACAGATCAGAAAACTTGATATTATGAAGCCACAGATTGCCTGAAGAGAGCATACTTTGGAAGGTTAAGGACTCAACATCTCTCACAATACAGAAATGTGATTGGAAGAGCTCTGAGATGCTTCTCCTAAAATGCAAATTACAGCTGCATGATTTCTTAAATGCTTTTAAAAAACAAACAAAACCCAAAATATAAAGGACAAAACTGCCCTGCCCTTTATAGATAGCAATTATGATTCCCCATCCATCTGATAAAACTTGTCTGTATAAAGCTAATTTTTAAAAGATAACGTCCTCGAACAAAAATACTAGAAAGGCAGAAACAAAGTTTACTGAATTTTCAAACTGTCAGTCTACCTTAAAAAAGATACACTTTTTAAAAAAAATTGGGAAAGATGTAGAAAAGAATCAGTAGAAAGCTGCTTTATTTTTTTATTTACTAAGCACCTGTCTCTAAAGCATGAGTCTGGTTTTTTATATGCTTGAACAGTCTTCATTACCCTCATTTGGAATAGAAACTCATTTAGTTGACTGTTGGTGTTTTTTTTTTTTTAAGAAAGAATCATTTGCAAATGTGCCTTTAAATGGTTGAATCTCCAGCTCCTCTTCTTCCTTATTTTCTTTTTCCTTTTTTCCTTTTTTTTTTAAGTGAGGCTGTACCTCTTTTCAAAATCTGAGTTTAGCATACCACACAGGAAAGAACACAAGCTTGCCAAGTCCCGCTGAGCGTTTTTTCAAGCCTGTGAAAAGAATGAATTATTCAGCAGTAAGCATGCTTACAGCTGGCCATTTGGGAGCTTTGATGTGCGAATCAGGCGGTTGCATGAATGCCCTTATTGTCATGTTATGTGTACACAGTGTGTGAATTATTGAAAATAGTGAGGCCTGAGCCTCATCTGGTAGAGATTACAGTGCAGGCATGCTGGGTGAAGGTCTGTAATTGAAAATCCCCAGATGCTGTTTATTTGGCCTGTGTCACATGACCTTCTGCAGTAAGCTTGTCTGAACAAAACGCTGCCTGCATAGGACAGCATTGCCCAATCCCTTCAGCCCCACCCTCTCCTTCTCTATAAGCCTTTTGCTGAAGGGACTTCTCTCAAAACTCACGATGGGGATGACTTAACACCTGCCTATAATATTTTTAAAGGCTTAGAATAAGGTTTTGCTCCTGGGCTTTAAATAGCAGGAGTTGTACTTAGCGGTTGAAACTGTTTAATCAGTTGTTGACTTTTGTCTACAAGAGGTTTTTTCTCGGCTAATTTGGATTTAAGATGCCTGTCGCCTCCTCCCAAATCCTTAAAGAGGTGTCCACCTCCCTCGCTATCACAGTCACTGGAAGTGTTCTGCATAGCTCAGTCCTGTTTGGCCAAGAAGCAGCCTTGAGAAGGCCAGGAGCATGCTAATATTGCCAATGCTAGATTCAAATGGCCCTTAAGGAACAGCTCTTGGATGCCATGCACCCAAATGTCACTGAAATTTGCACTGCAGATTAGCAGGACTCTAAAGAGATCAAATCTAGATTTTTGAATTTTTTAAAAAATCATGCTTTTCTTACTGTCCCAAATAAATTTTGTTTTAATACACAGGTAAGAATTGAGACTTCTGTATTTTCTCTTATGCTATATTTGTATTAAATTTAGGGGCTGATAACATAAGCATCTAAAATTTAGTAACGCCTTAAGAATTTTTTCTATTCTACCAACCACATTTCATAAACATAACAGAACAGATACAACAATTTTATTTCAACTGAATAATAGATGTTTTATGGTGAACCCTTTCTCCGGCTAGCTAGAGCCTACCTCCTTGGATGTGCCTGACAAAATGGACTCCAGTTCACAAAAGCATATTCCATATGAATTTTGTTAGTCTTGAAGGTGTTGCAGGACTTTGCTGTATTTTCTTGGAAGGCCAACCAGAGCTTCCACTCTGGCAGTAGAATGGGCATTGGTTTCCAATGTTTTACGACCCTCATTTTGATAAATGGTGTTCCTTTAAAAATATCAATATATATTTGACTGGACCGGAGTTAGTTTTTAACTGCTTTTTGGCCCGGCAAAGTATAGTTTTTGGTTTAAACAAAGCATTTGTAAGTTTGCCAGTATCTTTGTAATATGATATCTCAGTTTAATGAAGGGGCATCAGAATTAAATTTACTATACACAGCCAAGGTACAAGGTTTGTCTAAGTTCATACTTGAACTTCACTGCCCATAATCTATCCAAGCATTTTAAGACCAACTGCGACATCCCAGTTACCATATTTTTCTGTTCATAACACACACACACCATTGGCACCCCCCCCCCACTCTTCTAACCAAGAAATTAAGAAAATTTAGTATTCAGCCTCTGGGCTCTGAACGCTCGGATATTAGGAGTCTCTGTTGCATTCGAGCCTACATTGAGGTGTTTTCCAATTGGTTTGTTCAGCATCAGCTGACGTCAGTTCCATAAGGCTCATGACTATAGGAAACTAAGCCTCGTGACTAAAGGAAGCCTGTTTACAGATGCAAGATATGTGCCATTTTGTTCTCTCCTCAAATAGCTCAGCTTACTTCCGTGTATAAGGTGCACCTTAATTTTTAGTGTAATGATTTTAGGAAAAAGTAGTGTCTTATACATGGAAAAATACAGTATGTGTTTCACAACTGTTTTGTATCAATATTATTTCAATTATTTTTCCTTTAGTTATCTTCATATTATATATAATTTAAATTCCTCTCTGGTTTCATCCCCTGCTTTTTATCTGCAACATTTCTGTTAAAAACCTTTCTAAACCGCTTTGCTTATAAACATAGAAGAAAAGGACTTATGATGCAATACACTCAGGAGAGAGGTCTGTGTGTGTGTGTGTGTGTGAGAGAGAGAGAGAGAGAGAGAATGAAACATGCTTGAAAACAAAATCTTAACATATTGAAGTCACAAAGAATACAGTTTTTTTAAAAAAAGCAATCTTCCTCTTCACCTCATGGAGAAACTTTCATTCCTGTGAATGGAAGGAAAGGGAAGCAGTCAAAGTGACATGTTGCTTGGATTCTGGAAGTGGGCCTCTAACTGGTCTCTTCTCTGACTTCACCTCTGACTCAATGTCTGTTGCATAGGGCAGATGTTCTTAGCACAGCCATGATGGAAGAAAATGGAATATTCATTCTAGTCTAGGTATAGACGCACAATTGTGTTTTTGCCTCCCTCCTTGCCTGCATTGTTACAGTACTTGAGTGGGATAGAAACTGAGCATGAACCGAAGTTCTCTGTGATACTGGACACTGCTTGGTCTGTTAGCTTTTTAAAGAAATTACTGTTTTGCAAATAGTAACAGAAAACGTTCCATTCCAGACACTGACTGACAGGATAGAGTTCTATAACAATATAGGAAAATATCTAGTCTACTAAGAAAACATGTCTTTTTAATTTCTGTTGCACAGCCCAGAAGTTAAACCTTCATGATGAGAGATGGGGCTGTATCCTATACTGGGTGTTGTTGTTGTTTTTAAATTTTTTCTTGACTGTTTCATGATATTTTTGGTTCTTAGCTAAGATAGCTTTGGGTTTAGTACTATGTGAATTGGATATTTGTGGTTAGTTTTGGTATTACTGAATATATGAATTTAAAAATACAGTATACCCTTTTTAGAAAATTAATGTTCACTGTTTATTGTCATGTGGAACTATATTGTCTAAGAAGGATAATATATTGCTCAGGGTGACTGGGAGTAGACCTCAGTACTACATGTTCCACTCCTCACTTCTCCCCACCATTGAGGATATCCCATTTTTATTTGAGCTCAGGACATCTGTGTCACTTGTTTGCTACTGTGGTGGAGGAAAGGGTTATGAAATGGATTACCTGATGCGAATTCTAGTTTAGTTGTTTCTTTCAAAAAATCAAATTGATTTAAATAAAAACAAAATCAACTTTTGGATTTAAATCAAAAACATCCAATTTTTATTTAAATTGTGATTTAAATCAATGTAATTTAAATCAACTCCACCCTGCTCTTATTCCTCCATGAAGTATAAATAGTATTTCACATTTTTAGTTCAAAAAGTGATGAAGAAAGTGATGCAATTCATTTTTCTCCTTTTGTTTTCAGTTGCACTCATTCTTGCCAGTTTGGTAGCCACTAAAATAATTGTGGTTTTAGATTGTATAATTTGCTATAATCAGATTGTGTTGCTCACACAGAACTTTGCAGAATTTCAGAACAATTCCCATTTGGTTGGATACCATTGTTAAATCTTTTAAACCCATCTCTGTCTCCATAAGAAGTCTCCTGTGTTATTGCATTTCAAATACTGTATAGTTCTTCGATAAAGGACTGATGATGGAATCTGATCGATCTATCCACAATGGAACAATTTCTTTCTCTCAATCACTCTTTAGTTGTCCATCTGCTCTTGAGATTAGAGGAATCCTCTAGAGCAGTGGTCCCCAACCTTGAGCTCCCAGAAGCTCCCAGAACCTTTGCTGGCCAGGATTTTTGGGAGCTAAAGTTCAAGAACATCTGGAGGCCCAAGTTTGGGAACCATTGCTCTAGAGCAGTGATTCTTAACCTTTGTTACTCGGATGCTTTTGAACTACAACTCCCAGAAACCGCAGTCAGGACAGCTGGTGGTGAAGGCTTCTGGGAGTTGCAGTCCAAAACTCCTGAGTAACCCAAGGTTAAGAACCAGTGCTCTAGAGCACATACGAGGAACACAGAGGAGAGGGAAAGTTTGCAGGAAAAGTCTATTCATGCAGTATTGGATTTTGCCCAGAATATGTACCAAATACATAGGCTTTTTGTTTATACTTGCTGGTGATTTGTATTTTTATATCATGCTGTTTAAAAACTTGCAAGAGTCTTCAATGTAAATTTGTGTTTGTTTCAGGTAGGAATGAACTGATAGCCAGATATATCAAACTTAGAACAGGAAAGACACGGACCAGGAAGCAGGTAAGCAATCCTACAGGTTAAGATCTGCATGTCAATGAATGACAGTGTGGCAGTTTGGGTTGCAATGGCTGCCTCTGCTTTAGCTTTGGTGAGATAATTGCATTGCCTTTCCTTGCATCTGCTTTTTTAAAAAAATAATAATAATACAGTACCGCTGTTTTCTGCCATTCATCACTTCAGTGACACAGTTTCCTAATTATACTGTACATTTGCAGTTGTAAGTCTTTGAAAAGTAGCCTGGAAATATTAATCAGGTAATTTCAAAATAAATGAATTACTGAGTCGGCGAGAAAGACACATGCAATATAGCTGTATTTTCTTAAGCTTCTGTCTTTTTTCCAGTCCTTTGATCTGACACCGAAAACGTCAAAGCTTATAAAAATCTCTCCTAGCCTGCCACAGGGTGGGCAGGTTTGGCCCTCCATATGTTTTGTTTTTGTCTTTGAAGTCCCAACCGCTCCAGCCAGCATAGACAATGGATTATGGGTGATGGAAGCTAGAGGGGCAAAACACCTGAAGGGCCACGGACTGCCAACTCCTGGTCTATTCCTATCTAGTCCTTTATTTTGTTTGGAATGCATTGACCTTCTTATGGGAAGAACCCTAATAACATCTGAGAAGCTAACCTGGTAACTTGGACTCAACACAGTTTGGAAAAGTTACTTGTTTGGTTGACAGAACTGGCCATTCTGGCTGGTGGACACTGGAAATTGTCCCAGACCACCTCTAAGCTCTGGAATTCAGTAGGGTCATAGCGAGGCAATGAATAAGAATCGTAAAGGCAAAGTATTATATTAAAATGTTAATTTAATTATTTCTAAGAAAAATCATACCTTACTTGACATTTAAGAATAAAAGGAATCTAAATTATAATATGATAATAGAATGATTTTGACTTTGATTTTTAAATGTGCCATTGCAAGATTTTAGGCCAGACATGCTCCAGGCTTGATTCTCCAATATCCTTTGTTCAAGTTATTTCAAAGTGGGAGAGCCTCATGATGTCTCTGTCACAGCTGTAAAAAGAAGCAGGATGTTCAACATTGTAACTAGCAAAGTTGCAGCAGGATTATTTTTTCAAACAAAGTGGTTCCCTAGGCACCCCAAGAAACCCTTACTTGTATCTCCTATGTATATCTGGAATTGAAAGCATATCCTGCCAGGTATTGCAGAAGGCCTTTTCTAACTCGTGAGGTAGAGGACGGAAGTACTGTATTAATAACAGAATAGTAGGCTAATGGGTCAGGATGCTTCATTATTTCTGTGTAACAGAGAGTGTTCGGATGACTATATGGGTGAGATGGGAGTTCCTTTAAGAAATTGTTTTCTTTCCCACTTACCTGTTCACAACCACTGGTAGTGATGTGTGAGCATCGTTCATAGTAAGTTTTAAAAACATAATGAAATAATATTGTTGGGAATGAACACAAACAAAGGAAAATAATTCTGTTTATAGTGAAAACCCAGAGTAATGTAAGGTTCAATGGTATCGTCACTATAAAACGCAGTAAAATGCAAAGGTAATATTTAAAACAACATGCTGAATTATTGGTAAGAAATGTTAGTGCTGTGAACCTAATATTAATGTAGTTTGGTTTTCATGAAAGCCCTGAGTCAGACCTAGGCTACGTGTTCAGCTGGTAGTGTGTTCATCAACAGTTGAGAGCCACTAATTTAAAATACTCTTCGAAAAATAATATTAAATACTGGAACTGGTAAATTAATTTTGGTCATTCAAGATGCACAAGTACTTTGAAGCTACATGTATATCTGTGATGACTAGGTCCATTCTTACTGTTTTAAATAAAGATAGGGAATTGAGTATTTTGTAGCCATGATCCCTTTGGTTTGGAAATTTCTGATGTTTTCTTTCTTTTAATTTTTTTTAAAGTTGTTTACTCTGAGAAGAGTATTATGCAAGTGTTTTGAAACATTGGAGTTTGCTTAGCTGGGATTTTCATTAGGTTGCTACACATGTTTGGAAGGTTCAAAGTCATCTGCATCGGATTTTGATTCAGAAGGTAGACACCCTTGGTGGAACTGGTCAATGTAGGAATACTAGGGGGAGGGGAGACATCTGTAGGTAAATAGAAAAAATAGGTTTGTGTTCCATGCAGCTATATAAACATCTCTTTTAGGCAATACCTTTATTGCCTTAATCTCAAGCATTTTCTTAATGTAAAACTCTGGAAAGCTTGAAAACTCCAGTTTTTATGGATTCAATAAAAGCGCTTCTGCACATCGCATCCCTGCTTCATCTTTCTACAATGTTTCTAATGCAGATGTTATCACATGGTAATCTGACAGTGATGACATGTCTCCACAGTACAGTGGTGCCTCGGATAGCGAGGTTAATCCGTTCCAGATTAACCTTCGCTATGCTGAAGCATCGTTGAACGGGGCAGGGATTTCCATTGGAACGCATTAAACATGGTTTAATGCGTTCCAAATGGGCCAAATACTCACCGTTCAGCGCTGCTTCAGGATCGCTGGCAGCCATTTTCGCGCCCTCGCCTCGCTTAACGAGGGCGCGAAAACGCTGCGCGCGGCCATTTTGGGCCATTTCCAGGCTTCCAACGGCCATTTTGGCCGCCGAACAGCTGATCGTCGGGGTTCGTTTTGCGAAGATCGGTAAGCGAAACGCTTACCGGTCTTCGCAAAGCGAATTTTCCCCTATTGGAAAAACGTTGAGTGATCGCATTAGCGATCGGAAAAAAACTGATCGCTATGCGATTTCGTCGTTATACGGTCCACTCGTTAAGCGAGGCACCACTGTAATCTAACAAGGATTGCAATGTCAATCTGGTCACAAGGATCAAAGCCATATCTTCTAGAGGAGGTGGAAGCAGTTGCAGAATGAACCGCTTAGGGTGGTCGTATAGACCAGATGGGCGGGATACAAATCAAACAAACAAACAAACAAACAAACAAACAAACAAACCTAGGACCTTCTGCTTTCTAGAAGATTCTAAGCCACAAGTGGGGATACTTTGGTCCTCCAGAAGTTTATTCTCGAATTCTTTCATGGCCGGGATCTGATGATTGTTGTGGGTTTTCCGGGCTGTTTGGACATGTTCTTAAGGTTTTTCTTCATAATGTTTCGCCAGAGGACAGGAGGCAGAACCAGAACACAGAGTTCTGACTCCTATCCTCGGAAGATGCTGGCCACAGAGACTGGCAAAACATTAGGAAGAAAAACCTTCAGAACATGGCCAAACAGCCCGGAAAACCCACAACAACCTTCAGAAGTTACTAAACTCTAGCCCTCATCAGTCTAAGTCACCCTGTTTTGAAGTTAGAAATTATGGGAATTATTTATTTATTTATTTATTCCATTTATACCCCACCTAGCTAGTCATTGCGACTACTCTAGGCGGCTTACAACACAAATACAAACACAAATATGTGTGTGTGTGTGTATACTGTGTGTGTGTGAATATGTATATATCTATATCTATATCTATATCTATATCGATCTCTATCTATCTATCTATCTATCTATCTATCTATCTATCTATCTATCTATCTATCTATCTATCTATCTATCTATCTATCTATCTATCTATCTATCTATCTGTCTGTCTATCTATCTATCTATCTATCTATCTATATAAATTATCATAATTAGAAATTTAGAAACATTTTAATGTGTGTGTGTGAGAGAGAGAGCTTTCCTACCCTTTCTTCTAGGCCTTTGGTTCTAGAAGCTGGAAGATTTTTTGCTTCTCCTCTTATCTCATGAACCCAGTTAATGAAAGGCTTGCACTTTTGCTGATTCCTTACTAAATCACAAGTTTTGTGATGAGTATAGAAATACAAAGGATCATTTGAACATATGCAAAGGGGCTTATTGGCACTTAGGATCAAATTAAAGAAGTCATTCCAGGTTTTACAGATCATTAGAGAATCGTGACAAAATTTCATTCTATATTTGATCAGTGGTTTTCATCTGTTTACTTCCACTCATCCTTTACAGTCCTATTTTGAAAGGTGACAAATTTGACTTCTGTTTCAGACCCCATTACTCATGTATAACAGTCATGCATTGAACATTTATCTGTTTAAGAATGATGGAGGTGTGTTGTCCTGTTCTTCAACTTGAGAAAAATAATGCCTATTCAGATAAAAAAAGGGATGGGAACGGCAAATGCCAATTGTGGTTCATATTCCACTACGTACTTATGCTGACACCCTCCCAAAGTTATTTTTGTAATAGAAATCAAATTACAGTCAATTTTAAAACTGAAAGTTCAAGCAGCCATTAGAAATCAGATACATCTACTATTCCAATACCAAATCCTTGTGGATACAATTAGGTTTAGGTGCTAACTGTAGCAAACTTAGAAGTTCTTTGCTTATATGACTGGGATAGTGTAGTGTAGTGTAGTGTTGTTTTAGCAGCAGTACAGTCTGTAGTTTCAAAGAAAATGATTGGGGTTTTTAAAATTAAAATTTGTACCGAGCCAGAGTTCTACATACAGGGTTTTTCACATTTCACACTTTTCACATTTATCGCCACATACAGGTACCATTATAGCAATACTTGTAAAAATGTGGCGATATTTTGAAAAGGCACAGAGAGCCTCATGATGTTTTCACAAGTAGCATCTGAAATTTGAAGAGAAGCACAAGGCTTAGAACTCAAACTCAGTATAAAATTAACTCCTATGCCATCTCAGTGGCTACAATTCTGCTGTTTAGTGTATCAAATTGTGCTAGAGCAGGCCAATGGAGATTTGATGAGTTGACTCCTCCATAAATTCCACTGATTCAAATGGGCCTACTGTAGTTGTGACTTACTATACTAAAGTAAGTTGCAACTAGACTAGATCCATATGAGTCAATGGAATTTACAGAGGTGTTGACTCACCAAATCCCCTTTCTTAATGTGCTAAGTGACAGGATTTTAGCCAGTGACATGTGCCAAATCAATAGAGACTAAAAAGGGAATTCTAACATGCTTTACTCATAGTTTCTCCCCATCCCAAAAAGTGTCAAAAGTATACCATTTGTTTTCCATTTGTTTCAGATATCAAACCAACCACTGTTAAGAGAGCTTGACAGACATGAATTTGCACATCGTGACTTTTGCTAGCAATGGTTTGGAATGGAATGCTAGTTGACAAGCTATACTTCCAGCTGTTGCTCTGTGCACAAAATGTACATAGAGGGTAGAGGACTAAGCAGCTAGAAAATTAAATTTGACAAGCATCTGTGAACACAGTTGGCTTATATATTTAGCTGTCTAAGTCTTCATTTAGGTCGGTACCATGTTTGAATTCAGACAGACTCTGAAAGTACACAGATACTCAATTTTCCTATTAGGAATATAGGAAGTTGCCTTACACTAAATCAAGTCATTGGTCCCCTAAGCTTAGTTTTTTCAGTTCAATGATTGCCAGTGGGACTCCATGGTGTTCAACTGGAGTATTTCCTGTTTTTCTGGAGTTGTTGGGAATTAAATCTGGAAACTTTTTCATGCAGCCTATTCTTGCCCATTGGGTTACGTCCTGTTCCCAGAGGGTATTAAACAAGGACTTCTAATTGAAATGAAAAGGTAACTGAGACTGTTCTAGGAAATGTAACCAATATATTTCACATTGGAAATGTAACTTCTTGTGATTCACATTCTTCTATCCAGTTCTACCATGTTCGCCTAGTAACTACTGGTATATACTGATGTTTGTTTGATAAGTGCCAATCCCTACTTTTTCTTTCAGCAAAAGAGCTTCAAGTCAAGCTTAGCAGAAGGACTTTTGCACTAACTTTTCATACATAGCACTTAAGGAGAATCAGCCTGACTCAGATTCCAAGAACTCCTCAAATTCACACACCCCATATGTTCCCCACTGACATGATATGTGTGGTGCCTCCTTCACACTAAATTAAGCAGAAAACCCTGCTTATTTGGAGGTTCTGAGTATATGTATCAAAGTGTTTCTGAAGGTTTGAATTAGAGATGTAGAAAACAATATTCAAATAATGAGCAGAGTTCAGAGAGGATTAGAATTATTTTGCAGCTGTCATAGAACTAGATTATGCAGTGGCTGCTAGTCTATATGATAAACTAATGTAGACTCTACCTGTGAGCTCATTATTTGGCAATAGAAAATACTGTATCAGTTTAATGAATAGATGTCGCATCCACTAGAGTCCACTAGTTTATCTTAGACATGTAGTGTTGGGATGCTGCTTAAGGATTCCTCTATCGATCCCTCTATCGAAACAGGTGTTTTCAGTTTTTAAAGTGTTTTATAAGAAGAAAGATAGATGCAATGGTTGGGTTTATATTGTTCCTTGATTTCCTTGAATTTGAGTTTAGACATGGTGCACATATATGTGTGCCATATGATACTTATTATGGAAACAGATCCAGGATGCCTTTTCATACAAACATGCATCTTCAAATCTTTGCTTACTTTAAAGCCTGTTCTGAAGTTGGTCAGAGAGATCTGTGGAAGTTATTACACTGGTTGGATTCTTAAAACTTGAGATGTATATTTGTGACTAGTACTCTCTCTTGCATTCTGATCAGTCATATTTCCCATGAGCACTAAAAGAATAAGTAAACTTGCCTATATATTAAGAAGAGGATTTTCTCAATTTGACTTGACTTCACCATGATACTAAAGAAATGTATCAATGGCCAGCTGGTCTTCTTGCATATAATCCATTACAGAGATGGTATATGAGAACCCTTTAAGGTGTATAAAAATCTGCATTAATTGTGGAGGCTTGAATTAAATCTGCACTCAGAAACAATGAAGGATACAGGATGGTCTTGGGCTGATTATTACCTTTTAGTCCAACCTATCTCACAGGGTTATTATGAGACTATAGATATAGGCTCCACAATTTCCACCCTGATTTTCTTGGAGGAGCTAAAATAGAATTGAAGCTTGCTAAATAAATATATATTAATAAACCTTGTGTAACTTTATACTGTATTACAGTCATTATTTTTGATTCATTCATTGTGGTAGTGCCTAATTATTGGACTGTGTCCGATTTTTGGAATAATATTTTTCTCCCCTGTTTCCTTTAACACTGTCTGAAAGAATGGCACAAAATTGGTCTTTATACAAATTGGCTGCAAAGGTTATCATGCTCATATTGCAACTATATCTCTGCAATATTTCTCTATAATAATGGTTGCAGTATTTATCTATCTTTCGATTTAAAATACAGTATACATGTGCATTGTTTAGTCATGTTTCATTTGAGATGAGGTGTCATTGTATTAGTTGCTGCAGAATTTTGAGCTGCTGCTGGGATGCAAAGAAAACTTTCTTGGCATTGTGTTTGTTTTCAGTGCTTATATTTTGCTGCTTACCTCTATTCCCCTCTGAAAAATACATGGTGCTCGTCATTAGAAAGTGTTTTACTGTAAAAGTACAAACCCTCTGGTCAGAATGGTTTTAGGAAAGGAGTGCACAATCTTCATCTAACTCCACAAAACTTTTTTTTTAATCTGCGAAGTTGCTGCAGTGATGATCAGTGTTTGGTAAATGTCTCTGCTAAAGGCATAATGTATGGCTGGGAATGTGGTCACATAACAATGCTTGCTGAAGAGCCAAATAATATATCCCAAAGAAACTTTTTATTTATGTTTTCCCTCCCCCTCCAAACAGCCATTTGATTTTTGTGTGTGTTTCTTTTGTGTTTTTCTTTCTTCCTTTTTTTTCTTTCTAACTCTGAACAATGTAGGTGTCTAGTCATATACAGGTCTTAGCAAGGAAGAAAGTTCGAGAAATTCAAGCCGCCATTAAGGTACGTTTGGCTTGCCCAGTTGTAGGGGGCTTTTCATCTCCATGGTTACAGGCTTTTCCTTTGTTTCCCTCCCTTCCCCTACCCTGCAGGTGTCTAGTCACATTCAGGTTCTTGCAAGAAGGAAATCTCGTGATTTTCATTCCAAGCTGAAGGTATGCGCTTTTCTGCTTTTGGGCTTGTGGTTGCTATGCATTTCACTTCCTGTTTTCCCTGGTGATTGGTGAATGCCTGGTGCTGTGATTCTTGTAACCTAGTTTCCTTGCATGTGGTCGCTGTTTACATTTCTTTGTGTTTAATCTCTCTCCTTCCCTCTGGTTTCTGCACTAGCATCTGTATTAAATTATTTTTAACATCCTTGAAAATGTTTCTTGCTTCGTGCATGAGTCATCTGTAGGAAAAAGTGTAGTTCTTTTTTCAAAAACCCAAATTAGCTTCAAGTTTGTATTAAAATAAAAACACAGCAGTTGAATAAAAGCGTGGAAACACAATTTCAGTGGGAAAATTGAGGTATAGATGGCACATTTTTTCATACAGCCAAGCTTTTTAAAACAGTTCTAAGGGTTTTTAAAAGTTACTTTTAGATAATTGTTTGATTACTACTTTACCCCCAGACTATTTTATTATTATCTGTGATTTCTGGAATTCTTTTTAATGAATCACTCTCAATCCTGTGTCATCATTAAAATATACACTCTGGGAGTAATCCAATGGAAGCAATTTCAATATATACATTGGTTTTTGTGGAAGGGCTCAGCACTTGCTCTCACACCGAAAACCATAAGGCTTACAAATGCTAAATCTTGACTGAGTTTTAGCTGCAGTCTCCATTTCACATGTCGGGAAGAACTCCTGATTGACTTCATTTTAATTATATTTGAGTAAAGATACTTTGTTCTATTTGGATTAACTTTACCTTTATCATTTAAAAAATAATATTTAAAAAATAATAATAAAAGAGAAAATAATGCATTATTTTTCTCAAATGTAATTAAAAAGTGATGTTGTTTTTCCCTTTTCTAATTTTGGTGGCAAACAAGAAAAAAACAGGAAACGCTTCATTTCACAAATTTAACCAGGCCCATCTTACATAAAGAATCCTTGATTTTTTTTTTACCTCAGTAGCTTAGAATTATAGAAGAGTTTTAGGCTATTAATTTTTAGTACAAAAAAGCATTTGAATGTTATCTAAATTACTGTTAACTTTTTCTTTTTGTTGAAACTTAAAAAAAGAGAAAGGAGTAAGTTTGCTGATTTTTTTTGTAAAGAAAATACAAAAACAAAGCTTTTTTTTTTTAAAACAGTCTATTAGAAGGTGATCACATTACAGTACCTTGAGCGGTAAACACGTTGGATGATATTGCAACCATCCCAGAACTACCATATGTAAATAATAACAAGCTGGCTTTGTAACTGTCAGGAGCTTTTGGTTTTCAATATACTTGTGGGCAGCATGCTGGCAAGCTTGTATGGCTGTTGGTGGCTGGCTTTTGAGTTGTACTGGCTGAGCAATTGGGATGGTGAAAGAGAGCTGGGATTTTAACTTCAAATGTATTGCTTTTTAACCCAGAGTGCAACAGTACACAAGGCTGTAGCATTTCAGACTAAAACCTTCAAACCTAATGGCTAAAATGAAATCATTTTAGCTTGTGTTAAGAAAATTAAGCAGCATACTGACACCATGTGCATGCCTAAATTAATACTGGGCACCTGCAGTCTCCCTTGTTGGAAATAAACTTAGTAATATGTTAACATGGACTACCTGCTTAGGTTTCCATCAAATCACTTGTACTGAGGACTTCCGAGGAACTGTAAAGTGTTGCAGTTCTATAGTTCAAGAAACCCATAAGAATATTTCTGTTATCCACAACTGAAATATTAAAACTATAAGACTTTTAAAATTATGTTTACTTTTTTTTTTAACTGTACTCTCTATATCATGATGAAACTTTTGGCAGAGCAAGGCAGCAAAATAAACACCAGTGATACCTATATCCCAATTCGGGGTGGACTTTCTCTTTTTCTTTACATAAAATTGAGTTGAAAGTACTGGTTCTATAAAATGCCTTTAAATAATCCAGTAGCATATCTTTTGAAAAACGTTTTCTACCTCTCCCACAATTTCAGTATGTGTATCAGTGCAAAAAGGGCAACCTGTTAAGAGTAAGAAATACATAGAGTGACAAGCCACTAAAGAATGTTAATCACTGATTCTCAGATGTAAATCTTATTTTGAAAGCTCCCGTTGCTGCAGTGAGTAAACTCTCCCAGGAGCCCATTTTTAAAGCAAGGATAAAGAATAAATAGAAAAAAAAAACACATTACCTACCAGGCAGCAATTCCATCAGCGGAGTACATATTCCTCTGTATGAAGTAGGAAAAACATAATTCTCCTTGAGAAGAAACAGAAGACTGAATCAGATGGTACTTACCCTCCAAGACTGGATGGTGGGCATGAGAACTGTTTATTCTCAAAGTAAAATAGGAATCATTCATCTTTGTGATCCTGTCAAGGAGAACCTGCTTTGGAAGATTCTGTCATGTAAAGACAAAAAGATCCTGCCTTCAGATAAATGTAGGATCACCCTTACACTGTTACTGCCTTAAATGTATAGGACATGAAACAAATGTGGGAGACTAAGTCCTGCCACCAAATTCAGTACAGGTAGAATCATGGAGATTTGGTGCTGCATTCATTACTCAGAACCTCATACCTTGCATAGGAAGAAGTGACATATAAGTAACTTCCACTCAGCTTTACCAGGAGTTAATGTTAGCTAGGAGACAGTTCACCTTATTTGCCTAAATCAATATATCTAATAGGATATATTCACCAAGATACAATCAGAGCTATTTAATTACTGTGCAGTGCCAAAGCAAAAAGGTGAATGTATGGACTTTCTGTGAGGTGACATAGGATCAGTCTTCATAACAAGCTATTTTCTGTTGGTAACTATCTCTGTGAGAATACCATCCATTTTCTATACAAATACCAATTATTTCTGAAATTGTATTGTCGAAGGCTTTCACAGCCGGGATCTGATGGTTGTTGTAGGGTTTTCGCCAAACAGCCTGAAAAACCTACAACAACTATTTCTGAATTTGTCCGAGTTCAGTGTCTTACTGTTTTTCAAGTAGCCTCATTCAGCTCAAATAACATTTTAACAAATAAGTTGATTCTTCCAGGTAAAAGGTCCCCTTTCTTTATGCATTGTGTTTCCTTCTCTATCCTTGTAACGTCATTCATGCTGTCTTCTTTTCTTAGGACAAACTAGTTATTTTCTCTTCAAGAACAAAGGCAGGATAATTCTTGTTCTGAAACAACTGAAAACAAATATTCTTCAGCATTTGGATAACATACTGAAGACCACTAACAAGCTCCCGTAGGGCCAGATCCCCTCCGGAGTCAAGCACTCTGTGGTGTGGATTCCCAAGCTCAATGATCCCTTGCAAGTCAAATAATATTAGGGGAGTTGCTGACGAATGCCATTCCTTCCTCACCTTCCCTACATGAGAGAGGAAACCAACCATAACCAATGCTTCAATAACCTTTTGAGCCTCAAGGCTGATACGTGCTCTAGTGCTCAGTTGCTGCCTGTGAGGACTTAATATTTGCCCTTGTGGCATAGGAAGACAGAGGGAGGTACATTCAGCTAGTTCTTCAGACGAAATCAGAGCTAGCTCACTCTAGTGGAAGCTCTGGCATCACTTTATCTGCTTCATGAGTAGGCAGGACAGTTGGGGGAATTTCTAGAAACCAGATAGGCCCATTGGTTGGGGATATCCCTCTGCAACTTAAAGTACTCAATGTACAGCTCGGGAGGTGAGAAACAAGAGAAGCAACAGTTACCAGAAATGGCTGCAGCGCTGCTGCCGCTGGTGAGGAAAAACAAGCCCCTTCATTCATTCATTCATTCATTCATTCATTCATTCATTCATTCATTCATTCATTCATTCTAACCCTGCCTTTGCACTGAAAGATAGCACTCAAAGCAACTTACAAAGCTCTTAAAAGGAATAAAAACAGAGAAACCCAACATTTAGCTGAATCGTTAATGAAATAATATTACCCTCCCCCAGTGTAAAAGCGTAAATCTCAACAACAAAGTACTTTTGAAAATCCATTGAAATGGCAAATGGTACAGATTGAAAATAGCAGTTCAGGGCAAGTTAGACATCATATGTCTGTCTAAAAGGATGTGTTTCAGGTTGCCTTAGAACCAGTGAAAGTGGAAATAGCTAGGTGGCACAAAGAGGAGCCCTATTTGCACTATTGATCCCTTGGGACATTCTTTTGGGATCATGTTGAAATAGAACTGAATGGGCACCATCATGCTCACTTTTTATGTGTACTGAAATGAATAAAGAACCATAAAAATATTTGTAAGTATTTGCATAGATCTGTTCAAAGGTGTGACTACTGCCCACAATATGGAAAATATAATATTATTAAATTAAAAGCTGAGTCTACACATGGGCAGAAAGTTACCTACTTTCTACTACAGAAGAGTATGAGGATCTAGATAAATTTTTAACTGGCCATCAGTGATTTTGAACTTCAACAACATCACAATTTCTGAGAATTTAACTTTTGTTTACATTACCCAATTCTTGTGATGATACTCAGTGGGATCAAATGCACTGACCCAGCTTCTGATGTCCACACAATTAGAGGGTGATAGTTTATGCCTCTAGGGGTTTAATTTTCAATTCCCCTCCCATTTTTTAAAAACTGAGAAGCACTTGAGACCCTTGGGAGCTGTAGAAATACCTTGGGGCCACAGTTTGTTAACCTCTGATTTACTATGCGGGAAGAAAACCTCTCTGAAATATCCTGAACATCTGTGAAAAATCTTTGTATGTTAAGATTTGGGTTTGAAGTTATTCCCATAAGTGATTGAGTATTCCTGAACATTACTACACTTCTGATGGCTGGTGCAGGAATAATTGCCACTTCTTACCCCTCAGCTAGTAAACAGTCCTTTTGCACTGGTGTACCATTACATTAAGCTTTCTCAAAATGTGGGCCAGTTTCATGCTTCAGGAAGAACAGATGTGAATTATTTCTCTCTTTCCATATGCATTTATACGTGCAGATACTGACACTGTAATTTTATCTTAGAAGTAATGAAATCTATGATTTTGCTTTCCAATA